ACTACTGTTCTATTCGTTCTCGTAGGCGTGTGTAGTGTTTCTTACTATATATATATATATATATATAGGTTGCAAGAAGCTTATATGATACGTAAGGCATACCTCAAAGATACAGTAGAACAAAATGTTCCAAAGTTGGAAAATTTTCCAAATGATCATCTTGACCTTGAGATGTATGAATAAAAGAAAAAAAGAATTTCAAGTCCTTAAAATAGTACATATTGCAACAAGCTATTTGGACTGTATTTTTTTTGAAAGGTTAACGTTTGTATTGAGTAAGGAAAGTGTGTGAGTAACAAAAAATAGGCTGCCCAAAACTCAGGAGCTCTATACAAATCATCTGGGAGGTGGCCAGATCCAAAAAAATGCTATACAACCATGTACAAACAGAAATCAAAAGGAAAAGGCACATGAGGAGTGAAAGCAAAAGGTTCCCTAGTCTTCTACCTGAATAGCTCATTCCTTAGTGAGTGAGTCGGCTGCGGAATTCGCCTCGCACCAAATATGAACCCATGAGATGTGCAAAGGCCTACTTAAATCGAAAATTTCTTCAAAAATGTGTGCTAGTCTCCACGAGGCCCAAGTGATGAAGTTTTGGAATCTCCTTCCACTATCAAGATTGGGCTCCATAGGGGATTGAAATTCCTGAGACCTTCCAAAAGCACAAGAGCTACCGCCAAGGTGGCATCAGCTTGGTAGATGGATTTGGAGAAATGTGGGAGCATCCTTCGTGGTCTCTGAAGATACCCCTAATGCTGGCTAGTCCCGGGTAGCTTGGAGAGCTACCCTCAAAATTGAGTTTAGATTGACCTGGTTCCAGAGGTCTCCATAAGGAAGTGCAAGGGTGGCAGGTAGGCCACATGAAGAGTAGGGCCTCATAGTTTCGATGAAGTCCAAGAAGGAAAGGTGCTTGAGGTGGCTATAATTCTTTCCCCAAAAGATCACCATGGTTCCAATGCCGTCCCTCAAGACTTGTAGGGGAGCCTTTTGACCCGGAAGAGCCTATGGTTTCTCTCATTCCACAGCAACAGACGCCTTCCAAAGCAAGATGCCTGATTTGGCCCAAGGGAGATGTTGCAAAAGGTCGAAAGGTGGGGGACCGACCTACGGGTCACCCAGGACCAGTTGAATAGTTGGAGGTCTCCCCACAGTTCCCAGGCTAGGCTACAGTGGATGAAAAGATGCTGGTTGATGTCATACTGCACTGTGCTGTGCACGTCATACACCAGTTAGGAATGGGCATTGGGCAGTCCCCTTCGTTGTTGTTGGTCGACAATCAGAGCTGTCCCCGAGAGAGCTACCCAAATTGACCACATGAAGTTTTTAGTGGGATGAAAGAGAGCCATTCTTTCGCAACTATAGAGGCGGGTGAGGCTGAAATGGTCTGCGGTGACTTAAGGTTTTGGTAAAAGGAGGAGACATCAGAAGTGCCTGAAGAGAAAGGGGATCAAATAACCACCCTCTAGTGACTTGGGCATATGCCCCTTAGGGTTTACTCTAGGCTCAAAGCAACTCAAAACCCTAACTAGAAGAGAGAAACAAGTGAGAGAGACAATGGCGCATACTTGCCAACGGGAGAGAGAGAGAGAGGCCAATCCAATCTCACAAGTGTAGAGAATACACCCTCATAGAGAATGTCATAGAGATGAGGCTAGGGCTTTGCCATGATTATGAGACTTAATCTTGAAGACCTGTGGGGTGATGAGATCTTAGCTTTTCATTTTTTAGATCAGCCATCATGATTACAGGAATGAGCTAGAACCATTATCTATCAATCTCCATAACTCTAAAAAGGCCGTAACCTGGTGCTGGTTCCTCCTAAGCAGGATCCCGGGAGGGGTGGATTGGAAATGGCCCTAACCTTTGGCTTATGCACAAAGTGGTCGATATCAGGACTCGAACCCGTGCTCTTGCATTGGCTATCCGAGCCTTTTACCGTCACACCAAGTGACGGCCCCTAGTTTTCATAATCCTATCCCCATTAAATATTTGTGAAAAGAAAAGACTATGTCTTTACAAATCTAATTTCAATTAATCTCTACGCCTTCCTATTTTAATCAATCAACCTTATTCCATAAAATGTCCATTTCATTTTCAAAACACGTAGGTGGCTTCCATCACAAGCCACACACTAAAAAGAAAGAAGGGAATATATGCGGTGTCCCACACATAGTGAGCTATGTGGGCCCCACGCCCCTCTACCTAATGGGTCCCCACACCCCAAAAAGAATTTTAGATAAATAAAAAGAATTTTAGAAAACCAATAAATATTTTTCTCTCTTTGAATTAAATAAATCCAGAAAATTAATTTTTCCTTATTTAAAATATTTTTCACTAAAATAAAATATCCTGAGAGATCTAAAAACACATTTTAATTATCTAAAATATAATTAAAACATAAAGAAATATATTTAACATATTTAAGAAGATTTAATGGGAATTGGATCCAAAGAATTAAGAATATCACATATATACCGAGGACTCCATCCCTTCTAGAAACCACATCTCATTGTCATCTTCTCAAACTGATCCAATAGTTCCCATGACCCATAGTCCTTCGCGGGGGTTCATGCTTGGACAATCAAAGTCAGCCAATAAATGAAGGAGACACGATCCTAACCCATGGATTACAAGTTCCTCCTTGATGACAAGTCCAAGCCCCATTCTAGCACAATACCTCATGGGTCATTCCAACACAATCCAATGTTGCAGGGAGATATCTCTTCGGCACATGTACACAACACACACCCTCTCCTGGAGTTCTGCTTCCAGTACAACTATCTAGTGTACTTGTCATGTGATGGTAATGATGAAGATTTGGCCCTTGTCCTCTCTGGCCAACAGGTTTT